CCTCCCTGGGGGACAGACAACAGAAAAGTGGGTGAAGGGAGACGTCAGACCATGTAAGACATGACAAAATAATAAGAGTTTATAAATTATCAAGGGTTCGTGAGGGAGGCAGGGATGGAGGGGGGAAAATGAGGAGCTGATGCCAAGGGCTCAAGTAGAAAGCAAATGTTTTGAGAATAATGATGGCAACAAATGTGCTTGACACAATGGATGGATGGGTGGATTGTGATGAGACTTGTACAAGCCCCCACTAAAATGATTTTTTTTTAAAGTGGAAGGAAAAGATGGTGACATTTCCCCACAACATTTTTGAAATATCCCTAGATATAAAAAGCATAACTGCTTTTTTATACCCTTTCTCTTTCTGGAACCCTTGGCGGCACTGTTGGGTAAGCATGGGTCTTCTAACTGCAAAGCCAGGGTTTAAAGCACCCGGCTCGGGGAGATGTTGAATTAGCCAAGTGCTTACCTGGATCACTGTGCAGTCAGCAGTTAAGTACTGACTGTTCCTGGCCAACGAATGAGCACCTGAGGCTGACAAGGGGCCCTGGCTGTGGATTGTTTCCTTGATTTGGGTAAACCCTTATCCAAATAGCTCTGGGGCAGAAGCGAAAGGGAGTGGCTGGATTGCAGAGGGGGAGGTGAGAAAGGTACTGGGAAGGCTGGAAAGGCCACCAGGGCTCTGCTCATGCAGGGTCTCCTAGACCTGGCCAGAGGCTTAGCTTGTGTTTTCTTCTGCCTTCGAGGGGAAGAAGCTGAATTGTTTTTTGTAAGGGGGAGAGAGGAAGACCACCCCTTTCCCCTAGTGGGCCTTGGGTGATGGAGGGCAGGTTCTGTGGCAAGAATGAACCGGTTTTAACGCCATCGATCAACCCCTCTCTTTCTAGCTTCGCCAAACCATGGTTAAGTTCCTTCAGGAACACTTGGCCCCCAAAGCACAGGAAATTGATCAGAACAACGAGTTCAAGAATCTTCGAGTGAGTCACAAGGCTCAGGCCTGGGAACAGCGGGGCAGTGTGTGGTCACTGGGCTGTTTGCGGCCTGAGGGCCTGAATCTTTGGAAAGGGAGGCCTTCCTGAGAACAGAACCCCTGTCCCGGAAGCAGCTAAGTCATCTTGCTCCAAGTAGGCCAGGCCATGGCCAGGTGCCCTCTAACAGCTCACACCTCTGCCTCCGTTCTGTCAACAGGAGTTTTGGAAGCAGCTGGGGGACCTGGGCGTCTTGGGCATCACAGCCCCTGGTGAGTATGGCTCTTTAGTTAAGGAGAATTTTGCTGTGGTGCCCTCTTGCTGCTGATTGGTCTATTCTGGTGCTGTGAAAGGCTGAGAATTTGCATTCCCGCCCCATATGTACTGCTTTAGAACCCCCGTTGAACAAGAGCGTTGGGATTCTTGGAGAGCTGGGGACCTTGTTAAAGGATAAAATCCGATACAGTGTATCTGAGGTGGCACAACAAATTCTCGGGGCGGCTGCAGAAGCGGAGCTCAGGAGGGGAAGGCCTGGTTTCCAGAAGCAGCAGGGAAGGGAAGCTCAGGCTCTCGAAAACCCAGTGTCCCCCTCGTTGACTGTCAGCCCACCGAAGAGTAAACTCAAAATCCCACTGCCGCTAAGCTGGCTCCATCTCACAGCGACCTGTGGGAAACAGAGGCCTGGGAAGAGAGGGTATGCGGATGAATTCTTTAGTCTCGTGTTTAAGAAGCCTGGCAGGCCAGGATTCTGGGTGGAGGGAGGCCTTTGTACCTGTGAGTGAGTGAGAGATGAGTCCCAATCACATTCTCATAACTAAAATAATCCCCACAATATTCCTCCCATCATAGTGCTAACCTTAAAGTTACCTCTTACTTCTCTGGCCAGGAGCTCTCTCTCTAGGAGCAGAAATATTGCTATTGTTCTCACTGCCCCCCTCATGTAACCCCAGCGCTGGTGTTAGCTTACGCCTCCAATGAACTTAGGGAACTCGAGGGTTAAGGGTACAGCCCACTGTTAAGTTTGTGGTCACCTGTAACTAAAGGGGCTTGCATGCCCCAAGAATATATAAGGTGATGTGAGAATACATTCTCTCTCTGCTCAGACTTGGTACCTGAAGCCATGGCTGAGGTGAGCACCCCAAAACTTTTGTCTGCCTCTTAATTTCTTCCCTTCATGTACACAACCATCCATTAGGACCCATCCGGATGTGAGGCTGGATCTCACGGTGACCCTCTCTATAGGGTTTCCAAGTGTAAATCTTGTGGGAGCTGGTCGGCTTGAACCACCGAACTTGGGGTTAAGAGTCCACCCACACCACCCCCAGGGCTTGGTTCACAACAGGGTACATGCTTCCATTTCTTTAGCTGTGGTGTCCAGGAGACGATCCGTACCCTTCTCTGGGATCACAGCGAACCAGACTGCAAGGCTGCTGAATGCTGCCTGCTGGTTTTGTTGGAGAGGGTGAAAAACTTTGCCTGAAGGGCGTGTCTTAGCAACGGGTGTCCCTGTCCTCCATAAGCTCTGCCTCCTCGACAGCAGCTGGACAGGGCCACTCATGAGCTGTGCCCTTCCTTGGCCTGCAGCATGGACCCGCAGCAGATGGCAGAGGTGGGGTGAGGAAGTCTGCCCCCTGTGGGTCTTAACTGCATGCTTCCAAGAGGGCAAAGGCAGGGAGCTGGGGGCTCCGGGTTAGAGGTTGATCTGAAACAGCCACCCACTATAGACCTGGCCTCCAGGGCCCAGTCAGGAGAGCAAGGTGGGCGCCTCTGTGCCTTCCATCACTCCCTCACCACCTGGAGCTGTCAGTGGAGCCCGACTCACGGTCAGCCTGCGTGCGCCAGCGTCCAGCTGTGCGCAGAGAGAGTTCATGGCGGAGGCTCAGATGTAGATCTCCAGGCCTATCTTCTGAGGAACCTCCAACCTTTGGGTCAGCGGCTGAGGATGTGAACTGTTCACACCACCCAGGATGCCAGATGGCTCCTGAGATTGTAATTGGTCCGAGAAACATATGTCGTGAGCGCAGGCATTCCTTGGCTCAGTCGGGTCTGACCTAAGTCCAAGATCTCTCCCTCACCCCCACCCCAAGTTTCATTTTGATTGCCTTTCATGACCAAAAGTCATCACATTGAACTTCTAGAAGGAAACAGCTGAGAACAGTAAACATGAGAATGTTGAATGCTGTTAGCACTTCACCCTACACCTTGCTGGGGACGCTGCAGTGGTTCCACTTACAGCAACCCCCTGGAGGACGGAACGACACACACACTGATGGTTCTTAGGTTGGGGCCCATTCTTGCTAAGGGTAATATACACAGAAGGAATGCAAGCGGCTGCTCTTTTCACGAGCCTTTCAAAGCTTTGAGAGACACACATTAGTGGAGTGGGTAATTGGAAAATCGTGTGCACGGTCACTATGAGCAGGAAACAACCGGCTTGCTTAACTGAGCTCATCCGAACGGTGGCACACAGCCAGGGCCGGGTCGCGCACTGCACCGTGGCTCAAGAATCCAGAGTTTTTCTAAGGTGACCAGATTTTAACATTGGTAAAACAGGACACCATTGATAAAACTCATATCCTGGCGAAATAGCCACATGGCAGTCGAAAACCATATACCCTAGCTTGTTGTGCATTCTTTCCAAAAATCAGGACTTTTAAAAAACGCCACGGGACGCGAGAAAAATTGTTAAAAATCGGGACTGCCCCGCCAAAAGCGGGATGTCTGGTCACCTTATTTTACACAGACAGTTCAGTGGCATTCAGCACGTTTGTCTTGTGGCTGAACCACCATCACTACCCTGACTGATTGTTTTCCGTACCCTTAGCAGAAGTTCAGTGCCCGGGGAACTTGTGAAAATCGTGCTGGTCAGGTGGCAGTAGTTAATATAAGGAGGAAACGGTTAGAAATCGGAAAATCCCTCTCCAGGGCCAACTTGGAAAGAAAGGTAGACGAGAGTTCTGGTTTTCAGAACTGGTGTCTTGGTAGCTGCTTCTGATCTCAGCCCCTGTGGGCTTTCTAGGTGGCCTAGTGGGTTACCTACTGGGCTGCTAGGCAAAGAGTCAACAGTTTGAAACGACAAGCTGCTCCCAGGAGAAAGATGAAGCTTTCCACTCTCCTGAGGGGTTACCGTCTTAGAAACCGCAGGGACAGCTCCACTCCATCCTGTAGGGCCACCATGAATCAGAAGGGACTCAATAGCAGGGAGGTTTTGAGTGAGTGGTTTTCAAAGTGCCCTGGTGGCTTCATGGGTCAGGTGCTGGGCTGCCAACCACAAACAAGGTCAGCACTTCAAACCCACCAGCCACTCCACCAGACACAGGAGGGTTTCTGCTCCCACGAGGGGATAAAGCCACGGAAGCCCACAGAGGCACTGTCCTATAGGGTCTTCTCTGTCCTATAGGGTCTCTCTCTGAGTCAGAACTGAATTGATGCCAGTGTGTTTTGAGGTTTTGGCTGGGCTTTCATTCCAGGAGGTGTGGCATCTGGCCACCTTTCCCTGGAGCCTAGGGCTGGCCACATGTCTCAGAGTAAGGGTGAGCCCTTGCCAGGGTTCACCCCTACAGATTTTGAGGATGAAGGGTTAAGTACAGTGTACCCTTGCCCATTAAATTTTAGATGAGCTGCCGAGGAGCAAACTTACTTGTTTCTGGGGAGTTCTGAAACCCCTTTCTGCCTTTGCACAGCGTACCCCTAGATTTTCTCTTGGGATGTGGCTCCCCTATCCCTTTCAGCAGGCCTGCATTTCTCCATCCAGTCTTAGGCTATGGAAAGCTCCCCTCCTCTCTGCCTTCCCCACACCCAGCCTTTGTTTTGCATCCGTTCTAGTCTTTGGGGTTCCTCCTCATAGTGTTTCTCTGTGAAACCCCAAGTCCCCTTCTCATACGCCCCTGCGACTGTGCGTTGAGCACTTTCTGAACAGTAGGGCCACCTGACTGCATTCAGAGCTGTGTCCTGGCTAAAGAGGAGTAGCAACAACTATCCCTGGTGTTTAGGAACCTGTTCCGCAGTCTTGTAAGCAGTGTTCATGTCATCTCCGTCTGTCTGCCGGCCTGGCTAAAAGTAATCTGGAATAAGTGCTGCGTGGATATTTGTTTTCTGCTAAGATTAGGCTCTAAGCTGTTCCAAATTAATCTCTGCGGCTCTTTCCTCCCCGCTGCACCCCCACTGCCCCAGCTCAGTACGGCGGCTCTGGGCTGGGGTACCTGGAGCATGTGCTGGTGATGGAAGAGATAACCCGAGCATCGGCAGCAGTGGGGCTCAGCTACGGTGCCCACTCCAACCTCTGCATCAACCAACTCGTGCGCAATGGGAATGAAGCGCAGAAAGAGAAGTACCTCCCCAAGGTGAGGAGATGAGGAGGGGAAGCACGTGCTCATCCCACGGTGGCTTCCAACCTCTGGGAACCCGCCCTGGTGGGGAGGGCCAAGCAGACATGCTTTCCGTAGCCTGCTGCCCCGAGCCAACTATGATTAGAAAGGGACCAGAGATTTCCGTCAACATCGTTCAGTTAAAAATAAACAGACAGAAAATCGACCCCCCAGCAACAGCACAATGTAGTATATGAGAAACAGAGCAAAAAAAAAAAAGAAAGAAACAGAGCAACCAGCCCAAAATTGTAGAAAATGTTGGCACAGCGGGGAAATGTAGCTAAAGGACAATGGTCAGATGGGAGCCTGATTCACTGGGTAAACTTTTACCCAAAATACGCTAAAATATTACTTCTCTTGAAAAAAAATTTAGAAATCTAGGGGCTCCATAATTTAATTAATTCACACAACTTTTATAAATACGGGTCTTCAAAATTAAAAAAAGTTTGACTTAAAAATTTAAAAAATTCAAACTAGGACCCAAACCCCTGGCATAGGGGTCACTGGACAACATTTGAAGAATTCACACACACAC